GGGAGCGGCCCCAGCCCTTCCCAGGCCCTCGACGGGGCCGAAGGCTGCGGTGGGAGCGAACAGGGCACCGCCACCCCGTCACCTCCCGCCACGGCGGAACGGGCCGCAGCTGGGTCATCCGTGAGGTCCCTCCCAACCCGCACCAGCCGATTACAACCGATGCCTTGGGTTAAAAACAAAACGAACCCCAAAACCGAAAAACGAACACATAAAAACCCAAACCATCAAAAAATCTAATGCGAGGAAAACTTGAGGCATGGAAAGCTAAGACATTTAAAAAAAAAGGAAAAAGATCAAAACACTGCAGATTTTACAGTTAGAAATGGGGAGGAATAAGGAACACCAAGAAACTTGGTAAATCAATTATCTTTATTTTATAGAAAGTCGTTTGATCAGTGTGCTTAACCTGCCGTTAGAGGTGGTTTTGCTATTTTTAGTAAAAATAAACATTTGAAAAAAAAAAACTACCATGGAGAACATCTCGTATCCAAGCTCATTTCCTTGTAATCACCACTTTCTACGGCAACTACTCTAGCACTGGGTGCTGCTAGGAGGAAGGGAGGGGTACCTAACGCAGGGCATCTCCACAGTTAATTTCCTATAACGGGTAGCGGGGTTCCTAAAGGGCTGGAGAACACGTATAAGCTCACCTCGAGCCACAGCAGCACGGTACCCAACCTGCATCTATCCCACTCTCCACTTTTCCCACGTCAGCGGAGGACTCTCCGGTCAGAAACCGCACAGCAAGCCAGTTTAAGTACCCAGATGGCCAGAGTTCTAACTCTCACGAGTTACGACAGGAACGGCGAAGAACTTGGATGACGTAGCTGAGGTCACCGCGTCAATCAGCAACACAAGAAGGACACGCTCCGACCGCGCGGTGCGTTGCTGCACACTGACACAGGTCACAGCCGCTCGTCTGTGGCATGTAAAAGGGACATTGTCAACGACACGCTAGGTTATTGTTTGGAGAAACTACGGTTGATTAAGCACTGGTGAATGCAAACCTTCGGTTCGGTTTGTGCACGCGGCTGCTCCAAGCGCAGAAGCCTGAGCAGCCACTATTGCCCTTCGCTGGCAGGGAGAAAGCACCACTTGCTCAAGAGTCAGTGGGAGTTGTCAGGGGAAAAGCTGGGAGAGTTCCGAGTTCAGTTCCTCCCCAATGACCAGATTTGAAGTTGAGAGTGTCCCTTTAAAGGTTTCAGATACAACAGAAGTTAACTCATTTTGATTGCACCGTTACAAGAAAGCTACCACTCACGTGACTTACAACAGCTGTTAATTAAACACCAATGAACACAGACAGGCAAACAACTGGTTCGTAAATGAAGCAGCAGCAACGTGGAATTCTAGAAGGTTGAGTTTCTGCAGGATTTATTGGGAAGATTATGAAGGTGTGGCAAGTACACTGTGATTTTACATAATTTGGTTTTGAGAGTAGCTTATGGTCACTACAAACATTATCGAAAACGCCTGCTCATAGTCAGTACTTTTCTGGTATAAGCATCAGTTTGCCAGGATTATTCATAGTGCGGCTCTACTCAGAAAAATGACAACATTGTATGTCTTGGCAAATTACATATAAAATCTGCTCGTTTCGCAGACGGTAAGACAGCTTTTTGGGATTACCAGTACAATAAACGGAACTTGAAATATTAAAGCTAACAAGATATAAATATTAAAGGACAAAACATCAAGGACATCGTTACATAATGTTGCCATGATTTTTGCACATTTGCATTTTCTGAATGTAACTTTGTTAAGTTCAGTGGGTGCATAAAACTAATGTTTGTAAGCAGCTACCAAGTCAGGGTTTCAGTTGATTCAGAAGGAGTGTGCTACTGTTAAGTCCATTGTTTTCCTTCTTTCGTAAGAACAAGGAATATTGGAAACGGCCACTGAGCAGATATGACATACGCACTGGGCAAGTCTGTTTTGTAAGGTGGTGTCACTTTTGGTCAGTCACTTTTCTGGTCCATCACTGTACTTACACTGTTTTGGTATCAGTTTTCGTTTCAACCTATAAGTGCTGCGGAAGAACAATTACAACTGAATCACTGAACAGCTGTGCCAGTTTGAAACGCTGTCACGTGTTTCTTCATGGCAAAATATTCACATTCTTTTTATTGCACAATTTGAAAATTCAGGTTATGTGCATAAAAACCTTCATAGTGTTTGCACTGCAACTTGCGAAACATACATTTAAAATTACCTTAATACATTTACAAAATCTTTTTAAACAATTTTATATTCTTAAGATAAAAGCATCCTGAGAATGTTACAAAGTTTGTTTTACAAGCCCTTCATTTCTGCTATGCTTTATTTATCCCCATAGTTCCTAATTTGACAAGTTTATTTTACAGTTAATATCTTGGTGCTATATTTCACAAAATATCTTTTAGCAAAAAGTACACCATTGGCATTCAAGTAATCCAGCCTCACATCTAATTTACAAATAAAACCTTGTCAAGCTCTCAAGTCAGGAAAAGTAAACCAAAACACTTACAGAAAGAGTTTTTAGCTGACAAAAAAAAAAAAGTAAAGGCTTTGTGCATTAATAATTTGGTCAAACATTTAAGTTACACAGTTTAGTATTTTGGCAAAAAAATCCACCTATCCTTTTCAATTTTCTTCCTTTCATCTCACACCAGATATAAACGCACAGCACAACGGCTGACAGTATCAAAGTACTTTGCTGTTTAACTCTCTTTTCCTTCTTCCTTTTTTAAAGTACTCAGGAAAAGCAGACAAACAAGAACGTAAGTGCTAAGAATGAACTGAGTATCTTTGGGCTAAATAAAAGTCTTACTGGAAAAAAATGTAAAAATAAATTAGGTTTGTTTTTTCTTTTTCCTCTACAGACATGTAAATAAATAGTCTTTGAAGAAATTCTAGTGCCATTCCCTAAAGCAGAATCTTCCTGTATCTTTTTGATCAAGACTAAAGCTTCACACATAATATTGACTATTTTAGTAGGAAGATATCCATTCGTATTTACATATTTTTGTGAAGGGAGTGTTCAGGGGCAAAAATATATTTCTTTTTAAAAGGTAAGCCTGCCATCCCGATGGCAGTGATTCAAGCTACAGAACAGAAGACACGTTACAGAACATCCTTCAGTTTCTTACACCCTACATCAGAGGAAGGAGGATCAGGCAAGTTAGAGAGGTAAACAGCCTGGATTCCAGGAGTGCAGACAGACAGTGGCTCGTTAGGTGAACGCTTGCACGGCCAGGAGTTTCTACTCACACAGGCTTTGCTTCTCTTCCACACACAGGAACAAATTTTTACGGTCAGCCGACTGAGCAAGCTGAGAAGAGAAACAGTTATGGTGGCCACAGTGAAGTGTAACGTTATGGAAGGTTTCCCTCTGGACGCACCTGCTGTCAGAAGGCGGGCAGGTGTTGGATACGCCCAGATGGAACACTCCAGTGGGAGTGCAGCTACCTCAACAGGAAGAGTAAAGCACTTCAGCATCTTCCTAGTGATATTCTACGCCTATAATTCAGTGTCAGGTATAGCTTTTATTTTAGGCAACAATCAATATCTGAAGGACCTTGTTAATTTTTAAGGCATCAGTGCATAAGGGACTAAAAGCTCCAGGTAATAAATATGGGGGGGGTGGGGGGTGGGGCATCATCTCTGTGGCACAAGCTATCATTGTGTATTTGCTTTGTTGGCTAGTTCCACGAAAAATGTTTTCAGGGATGGCAGAAGGGGAATGTTATACGTTGTTCTGCGAAAAATCTTAGATCATAAATTTCACATCATTTCTTAACACATCATTTAAAGGGCTGAATCTATCGGGCAAAATTCTCATCTTGACTGTTCCATCAGCACCACAGGAGAATATGTGATTTGCTGGTCCTGTCTCAATTTGCATGACTCCTGTCCCAATGTTTCGGAAGAGAGACTGTCGAGCGTGCTCGTTGATGAAAGTGTGAAGAAGGCTGAACGTAGACAGACTCCACACCTGAAAAAGCATCAAAACATCAATCTCTCATAGCAATAGTTACCAGTCTTCAAATTCACCAGTAATGAGCCATGGAGAAACCGGATTACGTTCTGCAGTCATTTTCCTGACACCAACTGTGAAACAAAAGATATGTAGCAGTATGGAATGACACAGTTACAGAATATTAATACCCATTTTCTATAATAAGGAATATATGTGGGGACTAAGGTAAGACAGACTAAAAGGAGGACTGCACGGATGACTAACATTTCATAATTAAATTAGTACATGTGAAGGTCAGGGTTGAGAACAAAGGCAGAACTTAACACTGATTATTCCACATCTACGCAAGGTTCTGTTTGAATTTACACCTCACTTTCTCCATGTCTGCTCCCTCCCTCTCATTAATACCTTTATGTTGCCTTCAGCAGATCCTGTGACAAAATACTCTTCTGTAGGATCAACAGCAACTGCCTTGACTGGAGAATCGTGACTCTGGAGTAACTGTTGCTGCTGTTTTTGGCGAAGATCAATGATACAGGTGAAGCCTTTTCTGCCTCCCGATATTAACAGCTGATGTTTCGGAGCATATGCCAGCACAGTTGCTCCACTATCATGACAGATGAAAGCTGAAAGCCAAAACCAAAGTAATTGAAATAAACACACAGTACTGACTTCAATTACACAGTACTAACTTTAATTTTCCATCGACCTCTAATGGTTCAGTAGCAACCGTGATGCTCCAATCCAATGGATCACAACCAGTCCTTTTATTGCAGTACAATATACATGTAAGCCCAGGTTCATATCAGATATCCTGAAGCTGTAGCACACTCTAATTATGCAGTTAAAATCTGTATTAAAAAAAAAAAAATCCTTTTTTTCCTATCCCTATCTAACCATAAACTATTAAGCCTTGACCAGAAACAGATTCTTTTAATCTCTGATGCTTGTCATTTTAAGGCATGTGCTTCCCATAACAATTGTCCTCCTAAATTACTTGCCCAAATATCTTGTAAGTTTCCACTGGCTATTTTACTTCTAACTTGCTGCTTTTCATATTTCTTTGGATATGTTACTTCTCTCAAATGAGTGGAGGAAGTGAATGCAGATTACAATTACCAGAACATAGCTCAGCACTTCTGACACGAGACTCCACGAATCCCCACAGGTGGCATGTAGTAGCTGTACCTGAAAGGGTTCTCTAAATTTATCCTTAGAAATTCCACGTGTCTCACACATACTTAAGCACTATTTGCACACTGCAATTACAAGGATTTCACAGTGCTCTCTGTGAGCCTAATTCTGTATTTGACACTGAAATACACTGCAACGTGTTTCTTTTCTACTGCAAAAAAATATTAGTAATAACGTTAATGGAATGCTGGTAAATATTTATCACACCTGAAAAAGCATACTTACAGGAATAATGCTCCTAAAGCATTTTGGTAATATTTTGTATGTTGATATCTATACGTGCAGAGACACAGAAAGCATTTCAACATCCCACAGTATTCAGCGTCACATAAATAAAAGTGCCATAGAACTGGATAATCTTTGAAAGCAAAAATGCACTACTATTCAAATATAGCAATTAATCCTTTAGTTCAACTCTGCAAATGACTATCTAAGATCTTACGTGTGCATCTGCTTGTTCAACATATTGATAAAAAAAATCAGTGAATATTTTCTGGAAAATGTGGTGTGTTTATTCCTATACAACCTTCAGAGAACCGCTTCATAGTCATGGCTTCTCTAAGGACAGGATTCTCACCGAGGCAATTAAATACCTAACAGTCTATAAAAAGCGTGTCTTCTCATATTCTTCAAACAGATAATGTATCTGCAAATGGCCAATTTATAGCACCATTATTTGGTCTAACACTTAACTGATAAGTTTTCAGTGGGGCCTCTCTGACTTACGAGTGAAGACACAGCCAGAGGAACTCTGAACCGAAGGCTGTGGATGCACACCCTGCACATCTGCATCTCATAACTGTATTAAACGTGCAGTTTTGACCATGGTACAGCTATTGTCTTCTCAACGTGCTAGTCACTACCAGCAGGAGTTGCTCAGAGACTTTTAAAAAGGAACAGAAGTCACAGACGTCTGGCAGTCAGGGGTTACACTTGCGGAGCAAACATACAAGATGTGCTCTTGTCCATGAAACCAATCATTTACATATAGCACTAAATGATGTCTCAAGAATCTGTTTTTATATGCCTGCTGGTGCACTCACACAGGACAGTGAAAGGTGCCTTATTGCTAATATTAAAATCACTTCCCACAGTAACTGTTCCATAAGGACAGACACACACATCTATTTTTTACTGTGATCAAATGTTTTACTGGCTGTATTTTACTTACCATGCACCAAGCTATTTGTAGGTGAAACCAAAGTATCCCAAAGACAAATATTTCTGTAGAAAAAAATGCGTTTTAATTCAGCCACAAGTATTCTAAAAGTACTTTGAAAAGTCACCTGAACCTTAAAAAGATTGTTTCAGGCATAAAAGCACTATAAACAGACTTTCAATGGTTACTTTTGAGCAGACCCCAAACTACTTTCATCGTTGCACTACAAAGAACATTCCCTCTACACAATCATTCTGCAGCTGGTTATTCTCAAAAAGGTTTCATACTGAGATCACAACCTGTTGTAGCTGAACTCACCTGAAGGTTAGCAGTTTTTGTTAGTTTTTCATCAAAACTTAAGAAAGTAAGTGTGAAATGAAGAGCTATGTACCAATCCCTACATCTGTAAAAATAATTTACGATGGAATCATACAAATAGCATAGAACAAAACAGTTCAAGATGGAAGGGACCTACACGGATCATCCAGTCCAACAGCCTGACCCCGTCAGGGTGGACCGCAAGTTAAAGCATGTTAAGGGCACCACCCAAATGCCTCTTGCACGCTGACAGGCTTGGGGCACTGACCACCTCTGTAAGGAAGCCTGTGCCAGCGTTTGACACCCCCTCCTGGTAAAGAAATGCTGCCTCACGTCACGTCTGATCCCGCCCCGACACAGCTTTGAACCATTCCCACAGGTCCTGCCACTGGATACCGCGGGGAAGGGACCAGCACCTCTCTCTTCACTTCCCCTCCTCACATGGAACACGAACAGAGGATTTGTGCTATGGAACCTCCTTTAATAGGCACATGGAATGGAGCTGCAAACATCGCTTCTTCCCCTGACCCACAAAGAAGGAAAGAGGGCAGAAGTGGGCATGTTGCTCTTAAACAAGGGGAGGAGGAGAGAAAACACAGCACCTCTTTTTATGCATTTTTTTTTTATGCATTATCACAGCAGTTCTTACCTGTTGTCGGAAGACAATCCTGCTGTGGCTATCAAAGATGATGAACTGATGAAAACAAAGTCATTGGCTGGTTTGTTATGACACTGCCATGTCTGAAAATTTGCAGTTTAGAGATTATTAGTTAAAAAAGAAACAGATTTTGTGTAAGCATGAAGAACTTTCTCGAGAAGGTAGGCTGTTTCAAAAACAATTTAAAGAATGCAGGATATAAAGGTATGCCTTCTGACACTCAATTTTTCACAGAACTATACTTCCCAGTCCTCTGTTATTGACAATTAATTAACAATTAACTGTTATCGACAAGTCTCAAAGAACATTAAAGTTATTTCAGATCTAGCATTGCTTTTTCTACCCTCCAACACAGTAAGTACGATTAGGATTTAAGAACTAGTCAGTCACAAGGATCCCCAGATGGCAACAATACACTGTTAAGTCTAGGCTAATGCTAGCCCAATCCCTGCCCTCTCCTTACTGCTCTAAGGGGAAGGAAGTAAGAGAGCACAACACAAGTTTATGGAAGCAAATGCAGTTTTCAGCTTACCAAATATGGTTTAGGTGACGTTCCAGTAAGTGGGCAACATTTCCAATTTGTTTGATATAAACTTATATATCCATCAGCATCGACAATTCCAAACTGGAAAAAAAGATGTATTAATTGTAAATAGGTATGTATGTATTACAGAGGAACTATCCACATTCAGAGAGGCTACCTTAGGTTGGAAGAACGTGATGTTTCTGCTAAATTACAACTATATCTGGGGGTGGGGAAGAGAAGAGGGTGAGTGCAGAAGCATTCTGTCAGTTACCTTATTTCCTTGATAATTGAACCTCATTCGAGTTACCCTGGAGTTGCCGCCAGAGCGAAAACATGTGATTTGCTGTGCGTGACCCCATTCAAACATTCTTACACTACCATCCTGAGCACCTGTCAGGTCTGCAACAGAAGATATTTATACGAGTTTGCACGGGTGGTGTAGCAGTTGAGCAGGAAGTTAACTTCCAAAATTGTAAGAAGTCTCACAACATCCTCAAAATCACTGGTGCCACAATATGTGCTGTAGTACCTGGCACACTGTGACAGCAGTGGGTGCCACTGAAACTTAAGCACATGCTTTTCAAACCTTATTGAACTGTATGTACTCATTCAGTTAAGAACTGTATTCAGATGGTACTGAAATAGGAAGTTCTTCGCTTGGAGACGATGATGTATCTTTTTCCTACTACCTTTCATCCAAGTCACAAATAAAACAGAAATACAGTACTTTTTGCTATTAAAAAAAAAAATCAGTGTTTCTAACAGCTATTCTATATCCCCCAGTATTTTTTTAAATGAAAAATGGTTTCAGTTAAACAGCATTTATAAGTAACTTTTAAAAGATATATCAGATTCCTGGGCTAGTACAAAATAGCCGCATACTAAGAAAAGGGGCAAATAAGTAAATATACAATCTTTAAATAACTTTAACAAAACTGAACTTACAATAAGGTAATGTTGGATGAGAAGCCATTCTTCTGACGTTGTTAATAGCCTTTTTGAGCATCTGTTCAACATACAAAATAATACAAAATAATTAAACATACTACTGAACAGAAAGTTACTGAACTAGAATAATTAGTGATTGCAGAGAGTTGTTTCCTATCAGA